AAATCGCACGCTCACTGTGAATGTCAACACATATCGCTGTTAAAATCACGAATGAGACAAAAGTGAAAAATACTCGCGAACGAAGGCAAAAGTGAAAAAAATATCAAGAGCTAAACATCACCGTGGGGTATTGAGAAATTTATATTCAAAATTTAATTCAAATCTGTACAGTACTTTAGAAGAAATGTCACGCTCACTGCAATTTTCACCACGTATATTCATATAACTCAGGAATGAAGGCGAATTTTGAAAAATTGTCACGAGCTAAACATCACCGTTAGGCTCTAGTGATTATGTGTACCAAGTTTCATCGAGCTAAGTTCAGTATTTCGCGAGATATTCCACGCTCACTGAATTTGGAATCACGGCCGCGAGACCGGCCGTGAGAGAGGCCGCGTTTTTGTCCGAGACGTTTAATTACTTGTTAATAGAGTTAGCACTTACAGCGTACTGCGGTGTCAGTATCAATTTTGCCGCTACACCTATTGCTGATTCTGAACATCGCAGAAAATTGACAGCTTGTTGCGGTCTCGTACACGCAACTCATTGCTCAAATTTTTGCGTTTTTTAACCGCCTGACCTCTTTACCGATTTGACCAGCACTGTCGAGGAAGATGGATTCAAACCCATTGCATGCTCGCTGCTCCAATCCCGGTACTCTGAACATTTACCACTTGGCCGCCCTGTCCCAAGTTTTTGAGAAAAAATCGAACAGAGGATTGGCTTGGAAATTAATGTTTTGAAGGAATACAAGAATATTAAATATAACGACTCATCGAAATTCAAAATTTATATAGTTGCGATAGGATAAGGACTATTTCTTAGTTGAATAACAGTGTTGAAAAAAAGATAATTGAGCTAGTGGATGTTTGAAGAAGACTTCATCACCTTCTCATACAAGACTTTCACCCTTTAGATTCAAATAGCGAATATTATTTAATAAACCGATGCACAGAATTCATTAAATGCAAATTTTTTGACACTTTGTCCACCAACTTGCATAATTTTTAAAATTCCAAGTGCCTGACGAGGCGCATATTAGTCCTATTAATGCGCAAATTATTTTAAAATTTGGTTTATACTTTTCTCTGATGAAATAAATTATCTATCTGTGGGCTCAAAGAGAGATGTATATTTATTTCTTGCTTTGAATAGCTCAACAACATTGAATTGTTTACGTAAATTTACGTAAACCGTTCCTTCGTTACATTTCCCTCTTAGCATTTCAACACAGCACATAATATGCTTAGTTTCAACAAAATGCCCAGTCCCTTTGCAAATAAGACAAATTGCTTCGGGATTACACAGAACACACATTTACGATCAAATGTAATTCAAAGTTCAATTATCCAAATTGCGGCACACTAAACATTTAACTTTTTAATTTGTACATTTAGTGAGATGATGAAGGATAAAAAATGCATTTTAAATCAAAATTTTAATCGACATGCGTCTGTTAATGCCCGAGTAAGTAGTGAACCGCTGCTTCCACATTCAATATTTTTGTGAAGAGCAGAAGTACGAAATAGAGTAAAAAATTATTTCAGATATCAGACCAATCATGAATTTCGTTGAAACATCCACCTAAAAAACAATGTGGCGTAATTTTCAGTTCCAAAATGGGTTGTAGGCAAACCTACGGCTTCTTGGAGGTGAATCAAATCCAAATCGACCATAGTAGATATTGTTATGCAGATTGTCAAACCTGGGGCTTGTCCATTGGTTAGAATACGGCTTGAGAGGGAAGAACGGATTGTACTCAAACTCATTGCCAGACGGATAGTTATAATTTCCGTAATAGTTTACTTCCTCCCGAGGTGCGAGGCGGTTATAGGGATTAGGGTTCATAAACCGGTAAGTGAAGTCGTTTTGCATGGGCATTTCTGGAATGGGGTATTCAGATTCTTCATTGATATGTTCAGTCATGTCAGGCATCATAGGTTTGTGGCTCATTCTTGTGATGAGGTCTTCGATGAAGTTCAAAATATTTGACGCTTGACTCATTTCGAAAGGACGCCCATTGACTGCAGCTTCCTGACGGTTGAGACTTAGTTCAATGACAATATCAGGCTTTTTATCATTTGTTATAGGTTCTTCGGGGTTTACAAAGTCGATATCCTGATTTGCAGGCGTGGTGAAGTCAATAGTGTTAATGTTTAAAGTTGTCAAATCGACAGTATCTATTCCGTTATCCAAAGCGGTAGGCTCATTCATTTCTGGAGATTCAGGAGATTCCTCCATTTGCACTCTTTCGGGAACTGGAGTGTCGACAGCGTGAGTGCTTTCAACGGCAGGAATATTGGAGTTCAGCATCGCTGCAGCAACTATTGGCTGATCTTTGTAGACTGGATAATTTGCTTCCGGACCACCTTGTTCTTCTTCGGTGTTGGGTATGAAACCGGGAATAGGCCCAGGGTGGTAGTTCTCCTCCAAGCCAGCTGTAATGTGGTCAAATTGAGGCCTAATCTCTTCCATTTCCTGGTGATTGGATTGTTTATTCATTTCAGGATAGTCCATGGAAGGAAGATCAACGTTCATTACCGGTCCAGGCATGAAAAAACCAGATCGAGTTTCATAATTCAAGGAGTCATCAAAAAAACCCGGAGCGAAGTCGTCAGGGTTATGCAATGGTCCAACGAATGACGAATGAACAGGATAATCGTAATCAGGAACAAATCCCGTGTTTCCGTCGGCTGGCCCTTCTGCATTTGTAGGCATGAGGTCATCCAAAGGAGCATCATAGTCCGTATCCGGGTTGATACCAACGGGTACATCGGGCATGCTCGCCTCCTCGTCGGGGTGGAATTCTGCTTCGGCAAATATTGTTTCGGGAGGATAGTCGTGGAGTGCAGGTTCCGAGATGGGAATCATGGATTCGTCCACAACTTCATCTGTAAAACTTTCTTCGTTCCCCAACTCAGATATTACTGGAGTGCCATCTTGAGTTTCTCCTTGCACAAGTTGAATGCCAGATTCGTCTTGCGAGTTCTCAGGGTTTGCATATTCTCCCAAGACAAATGCAACCTTCGGTGGTGGAATCACTTCATCCACAGGAACTAAGCCACCGTCTTCGGCATTCTCTACATTTTTAGTAGATTCAATTTCCGGCGGTGATTTTTCCACAGTCCCATTTGGCTCACCTTCTTCCTGCTTCACATTTTCAGGGTGGGTGGGAGTTTCATCGGGCTTGGAAATATTCTTAGGAGAATCGTCTTCCAGAGGTATTACCTCTCCAACAGTTGCCGATTCATCCATCAGTTCCTTTATTATCTTGTCTTCGTCTACAGGAATTTCTGTCTTGGGAGCAGTAATGTCATTTTCTACTGGATCGGCTCCTTCGATGAGCTCATTGATGGCGGTAGGGTTGGGGCTGCTAGATTCCTCAGTCACCGGCGCCGCCGAAGCAGCTGCCGCCAACACCAGCATCACGCACAGTAATCCAGTCTGCCCATAATAAAATTCCATTAAGAAATGTATATATAACATTACGTTATCTCAATTTGAGAAAAGTTTAATTATATGGACTCAAATAAATATGATATGCATATAAATGCCTAGATCAATTTTTGACGCTCTAATTTCAGCGGCGTATTGTAATTATTCCATCCAGGAAGCGCAAAATACCCGAATAAAAAATAATCACGTATAAACACTCCCAGTTTGCTAAGACCAGTCCACCAGAAAGGAATGCAAGTCAACTGGGTCACTGTACATGCGCTGCTCTGGATGAAACGGCACCATGCAGCTAACTCTTACGGTATCTTACGCATTTTAAGAATAAGAAAGTGCATAGTTGAATAATTATTTTCATTTAGTTCAATGTTTTTGGCATTGTGTTGATATCGGCTCATAGAAGTCATTTTTTTCTTTGTTCTTTGGACTTCTTTGTAGTGCAAGTTAAATGTTGATTCGAATTTCGATCTTTTTGAAATCTATTCGGTGAAACATATCAATTTCACATCATCTGAGAAATCAATAATTCAAGCATAATCATTGCAATCCGAGCATTAAGTGGTCGACAAAATAAATTAGTCTATGGCGAGAATAAATTTTAGCCAAATCAAACAATACATGTTCAAATTACTACAAAATTTGTCTCGTAAATAATTCACATTTTAGTTACAACAATGGGGAGCTAAATTTCATTGAAGAGACGATGCAAACTGGATAACATTAATGTACAGCAGCCGTCATCTGGTCTGGCTGGTGTGAGAGGGCGGGCAGCTCAAACACAACGACCCTGAGACGACGCCTCCACGCTCGGTTTCTGTATTTGGCGCAGGCAATCGAGCAGCATACAAAATAAATAATTTTCCGACGCTATATCTGATGTGAAACATTGTAGCTCTTCAAGGGAGTCATTTTACGAGTTATTTTCACACGTAATTAGGCTGCTTAAATCGCAACTTCACCATAAGTTGAAAACAAAGAAAAAATAAATTCGTCACACCTTCACCGATCGTACTCTTTTGGCACCAATTTTCTGAACTAATTTTCGGGACGAAGTTTTATACCACGCTTCCACGCATAACTTTGTCAAATCAAACCGATCTCGACATAATTAAAACGAAGCTTTTTATTTTCAATTTGATCAGCGCCGCGTTGTCAGATTTTTTTCTGCTTCATTTACACGTGGTGCGCTAAACGCTTAGTTACTAAGGCATGCAAAGGTGTACAACCTTTGCGTTTAGCGCACGACGTGAAAACGGAGCCGACAAAATAATTCTGATAGCGCTTGCACGTGCGGATGATGGACGTGGAAGTAGCGTCAAGTTGAATTCTTTCGTATTGTACAAATGAACCTTAAACAGAATAAATAATATTAATATAACAATATATTATTCACGTTCCGGAGATAATAACATGTTTTCGATTAGCAGCGTTGTGTGTTAAATTTGTAGGTAAAATGTTATTCATATTGACTTGTTTTGATACACTTCTAAACTTCTTTAATACTAGCATAATTTCGGGAAGGAATGTAAACTTTACGTAAGAAAAATGAATAGAATTGCAGTGTTTTATTACTATACACTCGTAAACACTTTGTTCTGCTAGCGGCTCAGGAGAATCACTCAAGAAACATTATTTAATATGGGAATGTAACGAACGAACCCGCGTCTCATGGTAAAGTATTACAAATGATTTTGAGATGATGTCACTTAGAAGGTGACAGTTTCAACGCAAAACTCACGAAAAGGCAAAAAAAATTAACAAAAGAACCTAAAACCATTTAATTCCTGATTGCGATCCCAGGCCCCAAATCAAGACTTGTATTTTATCATTCGTACAATATGTTACAGTGAAAATCAAATCAGTGGTTTTCTTTGAAAACGCCATAAAAGGAATCGCAGGCGCAAGTCGCGGCTGTTATAATGTTTGCTTGGGATTCCCCAAAGGCATTTTCCTCGGGGCTTGCAAACCGTGCGCAGCATGATAGCATGAAACTTCTGCGATTCCATTAAGTTGACAGCTTGTATATGTCACAATAAAATTATAGTGATAGTAGGCTGAGCCTCAAATTCAGGTTTAAAAGGAAAAAAATGGACCTCTTACCCAATAGATGTAACTTTACAAGGATTAATGGTATAATAATTGATTACTCCTTGCGTGATACGTCACTCTGTGACGCTTGACAACATGATTCACCTATGATGCACGTAGCAAACAAAGAACGGTTTTGAAAAGAAGGTTGCATCTAAGGAAAACCCATCACTCCATTTTAATTATGAATAAATCAAAACCTTTAAAATTTAATTCATCATTGAAACGATATGAATAACATGCGCTCGCATATAACGATCATGACTTAGGCTATACCGCAAGTCAGACTTCGATAGCCCTAAATTACATGTCCTTGAAAACGCAACCTGCTGCTGCCGTCACGATTGCCTTCACCTTCAAATAAAAGAGGTCGTTCCTCAATGGGAAGATGCGGTTGGTTACCTTTTAAATTCATTTCTATCTTTTTCATTTTATTTCAGATTGTGATTAGGGTCTGACCGCGCATTATTGGAAATTGAATTTCATGTTACCACAATTTTAATGATCGTTTCAAAAAAATATTTTGTGTGCCTCCAGAGGTTAAATTCATGGACGAATGATGTCGTCCATGAATTCATATTGTGGATAAACATTCAACATATGACTACGAATTCATACATATACTTATGCTTGCTTGAAGTATAAATGCAAGATTAAGCGGAAACACAGCCTGCTTACCGTAAGCGGAAACTAATTGCAATGCTCTTACCAGACTATCGGTTTGAATTCGTAGCAAAATAAAAAAGTTATTTACTCAGAATGTAATTAATATCAATCGATGCGTCATTTTTAACAAAGATTCAATGCACAAAATAAATGCTCTAGACGGCGTCGATGGCAACTAAAATTGTCAGTGTGAACCGAGCTATCAGATCCGCTATTTGACGTGGCCACATGCCAGTCGCCTCCCCAGTTCTTGCAGCCATTTGCTACTGTACAACACCCGGTCACATCTAGAACATCGGTTTTGTTTTTTAAAATTCAGCGCCTGATTTTATTTCATAACCAAATTATTTCAATTATTGGTGAAAACTAACAAAATTACGCATGCCAGTGTTTGTGATAACAGTTGGTAAGCTAGTATTTGACCAGATTTCATCATATTATGGTGCAAATTTAGTGTCACCACGAAAGTATAACATTAAATTTACGTGCATTACAAAATTACATTAATATGCCCTATATCATTTTATTCTCGACTTGATACGAAGCGCACGACGTGACTGGCACTTATTGCTGCAGTTCTCAGGGGCAGGCAGATGCTGTCTGACAGGTTGCAGAGCGCACGGCAGCTCGCAGCTCTACCCTTGTCTGACCTTCTGACGCAGCGACCGCCGGTGCGCGATTCCGAGAGAAGATTTTTTTTATTTTTTTAGTTTCCATCAGGAATATAATTAGAAAAATTTAGATTTCAGTTTCCATCAGCAAGATAATTAGAAAAATTTAGGTTAGCAGTTATTAAATGAAACGTCATTTTTTGTCAGTTTATTTTTTCGTAGTTCGTTTGAAACGACAAATTTTTACTGCTGACTGATTGTGATCTTTAATAGAACATGGAACGACGTACGTATTCTCTGTAAATACAAAGACTTTCTGATATGGGGCAAAAGCATTATGAATCATTTTCATATATCAAATGTTTTTAATTGATAATTTATTAGTCCCTTTAAAATAATTTCTTCCTCAGAAAAAACACTCACAGAATCACTTACAAGTTCTTATATAAATATCCTCAGAACTCGTTGTAAAAATTTATCTAGAATAAATTATTGAATCAAAGGTTTATGTTTTCGTCCAAACACTCGTTCCTTAATTTAGCACGTCTTCGTAATGTTTCCAAAGTACATCTACGTTCACTCAAAGAGTCGGAAATAGACGGTCTCAGGACAAAAAAAAAACATGTGACAATAAACCAATGAAAATGTGGAAGAACTTCTACTCTTCTAGAATTATTATCGTGGCATCAACGAAACCTTTGTACTTTTTGCCTAATGAAGGGAAGTGGAAATGGAAACATCCTCTGTTGATGTTATCTGAGTCAGTTAATTTAAGCTCGTGGCTCAAGAAAATAAACAACGAATATTTTATTTTTTAGATGCTTCAGACATAAAGCAAACAAAATAATCAACAAGTCCTTAAGTTTACGGGAGGTAAAACATAACAAACTGAAGGCCTTATCTAAGTTAATGGCAAGTTAATATTTCAGTCAGGCAAGTCTCCTGGCTTGCCGCTCTTCGTGCTCGGAATGAAAATGCTGCGCAGCACTCGTCCTCGTAGCACGACTATAACCTGAAGCTTTGAATCTCATGGGGCCATACTTTCAAAACTCGCTAAGTGAACGTAAGTACTTACGCCCTATTTTCTTGTCTATGATTGGTGGATTTTGCTTGAAAGGCCGTCAATGATTGGCTGATGAATTTACGATCTCTTAACTTTTTTTTAAAGTATGGCTGCTGAACATCTGTGCGAAGCTCAAGTTTTACCTCCCGAATTTGCCAGTGCAGCGATGTTATCACATGACCATTCTAATGCAGATGCGTTAAAGTGAAGGAGGTGACTATTAACTATAGCAAACTCGCATAAAAATCCGCTCTTGTAACGGAATTATATGTTGAAACGCGCGAACAACCGCCCGCGTGGCAGCGATTGATTCTCCCGTGAAGTAGGAAATTCACTTTATAATAATAATGATAGTAAAATTCCACCTACATGCACTTTGGGCTATTTAAATCATATCATTTTTTTGCACTATCAAATAGGGCTCCCATATATGGACGCCCAAGTCAACCGACACATTTGAGACTGACAATGTGTAGTCGAAATCTGTATGCTAACTAAACTCGTACAGAAGAGCGATGTAAATCTTGAATGAGATTTATAACATATAAATAACGGATGTTTCGCGGTCTTTCGAAGACCCTCACGCAGGACAGAGTTGTATAACTGTTAATGCAATTAAGCGACTCATTTTAGTAGGTCATGCCGCTCGTTCTCGGTCCAGGCTACCTCGAATGGTTTTGCGCTCACAATCGATGTTAATGAGACTGCCACTGCCGACTGCCATTAATATGATTCAATCATGTTAATCCCAAGTGATTTTTAACTTCCAACTCTACGTCATCTATCGAGCGCTCATACCTCAATTTTTTCCAATTCCCACTAATCCCCATGCATTAGCCAATGTGTACCGGTTTTTCCGGTGGGCCACAATTCAAGTTGGTAGTGAGGCAGAATCGATGCAACTTTTTTGTAACTTGAAGGTTATAGTTTTCGCCCACTGCGTAACCTCAATACGTCTAAAAGCAGAACGCAAACAATGTAAACTTTCATATTCATATAAACTGTAGTTAAAGCAACAAATTTTCCGGGCAGATTCTACATCTCTATTGGAACATAATTTCGTTAGTCCGTGAAATCCACAAGGATTTATTATACAGCTCTCCAAAATTGAAATATTGAAAAAATGGAATGCAGGCGAAAATTTTCACATTCAAGATTTGTTATTTAACTCCTGTAATTTTTCCATTATTCAAATCAACATTATCACAGAGTATGATCTTCCAATTTGTGAATTATCGTACACGCCGGCATAAGCAAAAGCGATATTATCCATGTTCCCAACACTTAACTAATTCAGATCAGCGGGAAAATGCGATAGTGTGGGGTTGTTTTTATTTGATTTTAATGAATTTCTTCTTTCGAAGAAGCAAATGAAAGAAATTCACTAGATCTTCATGAAAACGCCTATTATTTGTCATTAATAAAAACACCAAATTTCCGTTGCATAACGGACATGCATAAAAAAGGTTAGCTAAATCCCTTTAACACAGAATTTAAAAATTGCGAAATTGTTGTTGAAACTTTCAATGGTTCGGCTGAGCCGTCAATTATTTCCTGGATTGCGCCGCAAATAGCAGTGAGACTCGAACGTTCTGCCTATGTTTTTTTCCTCATCAGAGGCTTGCTGGACGGGCATTTCCCCCACCCGCCACGGCTTGAAAGCAGCGTCGTGCAACCGCAAGACGTCCGGCTAGGCAAGACATACCAATCGCCTCAGCTGTCTCTATGACGGAGAGTGATTTGCCACGAGAATTTCGTGTTGTTGACAGGGTAAAAAATGGTCCTTGCGAACAAAATAATCCTGATATGAGATAGTACAATGCATACAAATATATATAATTTTAATTTTAAATAAATCAAATTACGTTATTTAAATATTTAAAGAAGAAAGATTCCAGAAATTTTGGAAAGAACACATTCTCGCTGATAAATTTACATAAGACGTTAATATCCGAAACTGTCATACTTAAAAGCAAGAGCACGAATGTAAAAACGAAACTTTCGAAAAAAGCATATCTCATAAACGCATCGAACTTTTATGAGAAATGAAAATTTAGAAACCATTTAAATTAATTAGCAAAGCGTAAACAATTCCGTTGGTATAGTGTCATCTTCATGACATTGAGACTCCGCAGGTAGCTGAAGATGCTACCACATGCAAGTCTTACGCATCATGCATGCATTCATTGCATGCAACTGCATGCATTACTTCCGAGTGCTGCGTATCTGCATTCATTGCATGCGCCCGCATGCATTACTTCAGACTCCATCGCAATTTGCATTCATTAGATGCAACAGCACCTACTACTGTCGGAACCTGGTTCTCAATGTGTAGTTTAGAACACTTCATAAACGATGATTGAAAATTTCACGATTTATCAGCATCCAAGTAACATGTGAATCTTTGTGCGACTCAAAATAAGTCAAGTAGAAAATCATGAAATATTGATAATAATTTAATAATTTGATATTCTTTTGGAATCATACTGTTGTCTAATTCATCATTTTCATGTAATCTGTAGAGATGTAAAATGTTTAATAGTATATTTTATGCTCCTCAGTCATTGACATCAAGTTCAGTCAACTTCAGTTAGCGTGAGCAAACTTTGAAAAAAATGGAAAATTACCACCGTGCTGAAAAACATAAAATTTAAAAAAAAATAAACATTTTAAAACATAATTGCATCAAACCTTCTATTTCCCAAACACCATTCCGAACGAACAGAGAAATCTGCATTTTGTTCGCTAGAATGTGATATGGCTCGCTCCTATATTCAAATTATTAAGTTTTAGAATTGAAGAATGAATTTTTGAATAATATAATAGAAAACTATAGATCATGGCATGAAGAGAACTGAAAACCATTAAACATCTTCCACAGCTGCACGCAGAGGCGCAGCTGTGGTCTGCGCGAAACCACCGTAAGCGACCTGAATTCAACAACAGCTCCGGTAACCTATCGCTTGTTCAAAGGCAAATTTCTAATCCATTTCCGGGCCAATAGTATAATCAGTTTGCAGCGCCATAACCAAGACGTTAGTGAGAGCATTTCAAGTCGCTTGTCTCTGTTACTTTAAACCGCTCAAAAGAACGGGTCGATAAATTATACTTTACCTAGATTTTAAGATCGGCAGTGGTGGGTGCGGTAGGTTGGATTCAATGTTTGGTCGAGAAATAAGAGGCGTGTTGTATTGTGATGGACTGCATCGAGTTTAGGATGTTTCGCTTTGACTGAACTGGACCTGATGGCAGCATTCCAGTCTTAAGTTCAACTGGATTTGATCCATATACCATAATTTGATAATCTCATGACCGCAGACATCAAGTTACGATGCAAGATTTACGTTTTAAAAGAGAAGGGTAGTGACAAATCTTTCCTGCTTCTTACAAACCTCATGACGGCAGACATCAAAGTTTAGATGTAAAATTTGCGTTTTTGAAGAGGAGGTTATAGTGACAAATATTTCCTACTTCTAATACTTCATTTACTTCTTCATCAACAGTTGCTTTTACATCTGAACAGTTTCCGCTGCAAAATGACTATAATTGCAAGGAAGTCTTTCTCTCCCAAACATGTGAACAACCGAAAACACTTTCAATATTAATGTAGGATCTCTCTCACTCCGTAAAATATGAAGTGCTTCATAACCTGATTTCTAAACGATTTTCAAAATCAAAGATATTAAATGCACAAAAACAATAATTCAGGAAATTAATTATATTCCCCCCCCCCCCGAAAGTCTGGCACTATTAACTAGACTCCTGCGTCTCGAAATAATTTTCTCGAAATGAACCGGGACAGACGAAACGAGACGAGAAAATTCCGGGAAAAAAATAACGGGACAGAGGGTAAAATTTGTCCCGGAAACAACGTATGAACCGAGAAAGACTTCTGTCCCGGACTTTAAAACTTGTGTCCCGGTAAATTATGAACCGGGACGAGACAGACAGATTTGAAACGAGACATAACGAGCCGAGACGAGATTTGTTTTAATTATTTGAGACAAAACAAGTTTTTCGATTACGATACGAATCATTTTGAAAACATGGGTTGAAGAATGACAAGTTAGCCCTTTATTGCTAATAGGGACATAGACAGTTACAAGGTAAATTGAGTTAATTGCAGATTTAACATAACATAACATAACTTAGTGCTCTCGGCGCTGAAGCGTAGGCCTGATGTGGCCTGTCACCGATTCTTTTCCTTTTCGTGCCTTGTTTACAGAAGATCTAAAATCGTGTCATTTGACCGGATCTTTTCTTGACCGGATCTTTTCATGACTGACGATAGTTTGAAGAAGCTACTAGACTTCCACCGAGTTTCGATAAGGAGCTAGGCATTTCAAATCTGAACATATATTTTTCCATAGCTTTATCTAGTCTATTCTTGAACGCGTTCATACTTGGAGCGCCAACGATGTCATCGGGGAGGCTGTTCCACATGTCGGTGATTCGAAGCTGTCTCTTATACACATCTAGATGTGNTTAAAGATTATGAAGCTTCCAAGCCTCCATTATCGACGTCTGCGTGGGGACCTCATTGAAGTATACAAGTATACTCATGGCTTATACAAGGTCCCGGAAGGATTACTAGAAGATGTGTATAAGAGACAGCGTTATGTCTCGTTAAAATGACTGTAAATTCCGGGAAATTTTAAGGTACCTATTTTAACCGGGACGTCTCGTCTCGTCTCGGTATCGTCCCGGAATTCCAACGGAAGGCTGAAAATTGTCCCGGTTTTTATTGCGAACCGGGACAGAGCCTGTTGTCTCGTCTCGTCTCGTCTCGGATTAAAAAAAAATACCAAACGCAGGAGTCTACTATTAACCACATCGAGCACGGGGGTATAGGTTGTTTAATTTCTAATGGTAGGCTGTTATAGGACTAATTTTTTCACCGGGACGAATTTCCCGTGCATCAACAGCATTTGTTTCTGTTATTCGAGTTCCTTAAAGATCGCAGGCAGAAATTCCACGATGAAAAAACATATATAGGAGGTCACGATAACGGAATGCCTGAGCTGAAGATTGAATCACAAATCTGTCCTTAGGTACTGTTGAAAAAATGTAAATGCCTCACTCATGTCAATAACCACTCTTTAGCATTTAAATTTAACTTACAGTGACCAAATTACAAGCACGATAGAACAAAAATCACAAGATTACTCACCACCTTCGCCATGTTAGCGCTTACGTTCCAGCACGGCTAATGCCGCGTCATCGCAGGCGCTTCCTTTTATAAGCAACGCCTCCGCATCCACGATACCCACTGCAACAACGTCGGCTGTCTCCGGGCGATGCAGGACGTAACGAAAAAAAACTATTTTTTCTGAATTTTCGGTTTCCCTGAACTCGTAAATAGTGACTTGGAGCGACTCTCCACCATGAATTTAGTCCGCTAGCGCGAGTTCGTCCTCTAAAATTTTTTACTTCAATTTCAACGACAACGATGTTTTATTACATCAGGAAAAGAGGAGCTGCCATGCAGTGACTCATCTTAATTTCAGTAATCTTTACGCTGGTATCCGCTTGTTTGAGGTACGCCCAAGGTTATATTAAATACAAACACATGTCGTATGAACCTAATCAACCAAATTAAAACCAACATAGTACCAGCTCGGTTGAAAAATTATTTAAAGTAGATATTTGTCTATGAACTTCTTTGTAGAACTAAATTTATGCAACTCATGTTTAACGAATAAATTAACAATAAACATCTCAAAAGTTCGACAATTTTTGGTAAAAGTTTAAAGTTTAAGAATTTTAAGAAGAATAGATTATTTTTAAATTGAATTTTCATGCGAAATTGTTCACATAACGTAAAGTTGCAAAATATGCTGTCATCAAATGTTGTAATCGATTTTAAGAATTGATAAGGAATGTTTCTCGAGCTCGTAGAAGGTTCTATCGTTTTCTCTCAACACATTAAACAACTTAAGTAGCATAACCAATAGTATATACCAAATCCATATAACACGTCTTAATCATGAACACTCAATCAGAATATTTTTATGAAAACTTTAATGTACATCAATATCATAATACCTTTGCTTCACCTGCGTATTTTTTCGATATATATAATGATCATCGAGAATGCATGCTTAGAATAAAAAAATGTGTACTGTAAATTTGTCGTATTTTTTCGAGAATAAATATTTACTCAGCGTACTGTTTGTATAAACTTGCGTTTCTGTGGGAGCTTAACTTCCTCGATCACAATATGAGATCGAAACTCATTTGATTGGTCATTTTCGCATTTTCAAAAGATTATATATTTTTCCCGTTTTTTTTTTTTTGTCGGTACTAGCACAAATTCAGAAATAAAATAGTGTCATTTATGGAACAGTTATTTCTCATAATTAAGAAGGTATATAACTCCAAAGACAGGCATTTTTTTCTCGTTTTAAAGGACTAGAATTTATCAGGCATCAGCGATCTCGACGCGTCATAGGTGGTGATCCTGAGACTCAGAAACTCGTCAATCAAAAGTCTAACTAAATAAATTGTGGTGAAACTATTCAATTTTTGCAGTACATTATATCTCTCACTTCAAATATATTATTGTTCCCCATTGGGTTAGTGGTTAGAGAAAATATATAATTTCAAATTTTGTCTCATGAACTCCGCTCAAGTTTTTATCGTAATTAAAGATTTCACCTAATTATGAAGACGAACAACTACAATATTGAAAACTATGACTTGAAAGACTCAAATTTCGCTGGCTATCTAAGTAACTTTGATGAATTAACTATAATCAATTTTAGCTGCAGATAAAAATAGGAACGCTATTTCCCAGATAACTAATTAGGTGACTGCTATGCTCCGACTTCCATGATCAACGACACGATAGGACGAAGACTGCTGATGCAATGCATCGCTAACGTCACGCATACACGTACGAGTGACGTCACAAGTTGACGCTCAGCAAACATTGGTCGACCTCCATCCTCGACGCTGCTCTGTGCTCGACGCTGCTCTGTGCTCGACGCTGCTCTGTGCTCGACGCTGCTCTGTGCTCGACGCTGCTCCATCCTCGACGCTGCTCCATCCTCGACGCTGTTCCATCCTGTACGCTGCTCTGTGCTCGACGCTGCTCCATCATCGACGCTGCTCAGTGCTCGACGCTGCTCCGTGCTCGACGCTGCTCCGAGTGTGTCCGACTGCTGCTCGGTGTGCGTCTTCTCCTATTTATTTCGCTGTTGTTCTGAGTGCGACTGCTGCTTTATTTGCTCTGTGACTGTCCGTGCAAGCTGCGACTCTACCCTAGCAGAAGTTCATCACCGAATAGCTGATCCTGCGGCTACATTGAATGATTTCAGTCATGGCTGTGTGGAGCATAATCTTTTCACGGTTAAATGTAGCGTTTTGTTTGCTAATTCCACTCACAAACAATTTTTTTACTGCTCGTTTACGACTGCGACTGCTTTTTGTCTTGTTTGATGTCTGTCTTGGTGACCGATGTCATCTGTTTTTTCGCATAAAAAGCTTACGCTACGTCTTCTGTTGCTTCAAACTTAAAAAAATACCTAAATTTTTGTGCGGTATAGTTTTCCTACACCATGCATTATGCTTGGTATGACTCGGACCTGAAACATGTTTGCAGGCGCCGACATCCGAGCAATACAGGTTCTTCTAGCCGCCGCATTTGGTAAATAGAATCACAAATCAAAAAGAGCCACACTGAAGTTGCAAAAAGAACCCGTGGTATTTCTATTATTTACGTTTGTACAATGAGATCTTCTTGTCCTTGAAAAGATATAGAAGCTGAGAGAGGGTTCCGGACTTTCCGGGTTTTTCCGAACAGGATTTAAAAATTAAATAATGTGGTGCCTCGTGGCAATTAAGTGTCGCAGTACGAAAATAATATTCCAGAAAATAAATTTTCCTCTTTACAAATAGCATACAACAATAAGTTTCAACTTCTAATGACGCTGAAATTAAGATTAGAAGGATTAAGAATGAATGAAGTCGATGACTTTAATTGGTTTCTCTAAAACTAATTACATTCTTTTTCGCTTTTCTTCTAGAATAACGACAAACCGTATTGAAAAATACAACACAGTCAATAAGTTGCTTATTAATTTTTTTTACTGATTTCCTTCTTTTACATTTATCTTGGCCGGTTCCGTTTAAAACCCGGTTAATTTCTTTGAAGTCGGACTCTTTTCCGGAGACAAAACAGCCGAATTATTCAGGGTCCCGGAAAACTTAAAAGCTATACCTCATTCGACCGGCAATGCTAGCGGCCAAGCGCTAACTGAAAAAATTAAATCTTAGCTGGATTTGAATGCCGAAAACAGCATCTACCAAGTCTTAAATGTCCTAATCTTACATATATTTGTCAAAGTCTATTTAAGAGCGCCTGTGTGGTTTCAAAGCCTGGCACCGCAAATAATGAGGGTTTTTCGGGTGTGTATGCACCTGACCGGTTTGCTGTCGGGATATTACCAGAGCCTAAAATTTCTGTCATGATTGGAGGATATTAAATAATTGGACTAAAAATCCAACTTTGAGTTTGCATTTGGAGTATTTATATTCAATTTAAAGGAGGCATAATAGTTTTTCCGTCTTCTGAAGCAGGAGTATAACGGGAGTCCTATTTTTTATGAAAAACATGGTTGTGAAGAGGTCTCTTTTCAGTTAGAATTCAAAAGCTTTCTTATCATTTAGAGATTTTAGATTACGAGAATAAAAGATATTGGGATAACAGGATTCCAAAAATGCCAATGTATTCCAAAGTTCAGGCTAGCCTGCTAGTTAGTTATATTATAAAATATTACTATTATTTATAATAAATAGTAACACATGCTCATCGCTTTATCCGACAAAGAATACACTATATGAGGCCAAAGATTTGGAGAATGTTTAGAAGAAAAATAAGCTATAGGCATAAATTATTAGGCTAAGCCGTCGACAAAAAAAAACACGAAATAGTTTTCATCAATAAATCATCAAAATTATCTCAAATGTGTTGAACAATAAGCTTCAATGCTAATCCCGGCTGTGAATTTTCCTCTGAAGTTATTAAAAAAAATCAAATCTGCTGCTTTGCCCATAAGCATATGGCCAGTATTGATGACCGCTAATATGACTAAAGTCCGTTACTGGCAAGCGTTCAGCCAACTGTTTTAGGGTCCAGGAGGTCTTAGAGAAGCTTAGCTCATAATTATGCTGCTGGGTCGTCAGGTCAAGCTTATCGCCAGCTAGAGTAAGAGCAATTAACAGTGATAACTTGTATGTCTGTGACGTATACACACTGACGCCAATTTCTCTCTGAAAATGATAACCATGATTCCGGTTTTGACTGAATAAGCGGTGTGCATTAATCAAAATTTGGTGTATGGATCATAACAAAGAAAGAATAATGACACCGGCATATATGTTGTCTTAATTTCAGTCACTTCCTAATGTAAAATCACTTGGCTAATAAATTTCATTGTCTGTATCATGCAATAATTTTTATCAGCTGCAACGTCTGGGTTCAAACTATAGCAATTGAATTTAAAAACTTGAACGTCAGAGAAATAAAATTGAAAGATTATAACTACTTAAGCCCGTCTTCATTAACATCTTCTATTCAGAAATTATAAATATTAATATATTAGTAGTAGTCGCTCGTATTAACTTTGAGCGCTCAGCGTTTTAAAGTTTTAACCACAGTAAGGATGGCGTGACACTGAGTGACATCTGGGTGGAAGTATGCTCCAGTATACGGGCAACCGTCTTGGTGTTAACTGTTCAAAGAGTTGAGCTCTTTGTACAGGAAAAAGTTTAATAAGGTACAGACAGGAATACACTCGGCAGGAGAATTGCCCATTTGCTTTAAGTATATTGAAGCCGAATGTTTAGTTTCGAGTTTTTCATAGCCGAAAAAACTGCAGGAGTATAAAATGAGAGCTTGGTTAAAATTCTTTCATAGGTTTCTCTCGAATACAATCAAAAATTACTTATTAGAATACGTGATAAATTTGTTGTTACTAATGGCAACTCATTTCTGTTTTGGTCAGCATGAATAATTAATTGGTGAAACACTGAAGTAAAAAATGGTAAAATATTCTCTCTTGGAGTCACCGATATGTGGAACAACCTCCCTGATTACATCGTTGACGTTTCGAGTATGTATGAACCTCTCCAATTACATTGTTGACGCTCCAAGTAATGAACGCGTTCAAGAACAGACTAGATAAAGATTTGGAGCAATATAAGTTCCGACTTGAATTGCCTAGCACCATATGTCCATATCGAACCTATATAGTGGAAGTATAGTAGCTATTTCAAACTATCATCAGTTTAAAAGATCCGGTCAAATGACCTATTGTTAGATCTCCTGTGAACAAGTCACGAAAAGACAAGAAAGACAGGCCTCATCAGGCCTATTCTTCAGCGCCGATATCACTATGATATGATATGATAATAATTGCATGTAATATTAGTCCCTATGATTTTGGGGGAAATTCCGTTGGGAAACCTAAGTCTTTCAGTGGTTCTATGATTAGATGATCAACTCGAATATTTAAACAAGCATGCAAATAAACGTGGCATGGCTCTTTAGATAAAATATCGTTGTACATTAACTGAACAGTAAAATTTACAACTTTTACCTTCTATGTAACTAATGTAAGACACCTACTATACAATTAGACCGGTTTTCCTGCCCACTGGAGCGATCGTGTCCGATGTTATGACGATGATGTCAGGCTTGTTACGTTTATCGTCACGCACTGAAAGTCTGATTTACGTGGATTAGGCTCCGATTTCTCTGTTAAGATATGCTCTGATTTTGAAAAAATGTGCTGTTCGTGTAGAAATAAATGTGATTGTCCTTTGATGATAATTATGATTGCTGGTCAAAAACACATACGTGGTTGTAAGATATTTCAATTTTCGATTTGAATGCCGCCTATCAAATTTAAGATATTATATATCGTGTATAAATGTTGTAAGGTTACGATAGATTCCTGCTTTACCCTAAGCATTACGATTAATACTCGCGTATAATTAATTTCGTCCTGAGTCACTCAGGATTTCTAGAAAAATTGTAGGCTTATGTGACTTAAAAAATTGAAAGGCTTTTATAATTATGAAAAATCAATCGTTCTCATGAAATTCGGCGAATTTCTCTTCTTTTACGCGATTTGTTAAACTATCCTGCTATGACTTTTACTATCAGCTGCAGTCAGTAAACAGTAAACGCGGTCATTTGTTCAACATGGTGCAAAATTCCACAAAATTCGAGGTGCTCATGACGTACTAAGACTTCAAGCAACTCGGGAAAGCACAGTTACTGATACAAGAGAACTTGCTCGTGTTTTATCGTCTTCCTGTGTAAGTGGAACGTTATAGTCCTTCGGTTGTGTCGCAATAGTTGACGATGTTCAATTCAGGGCACCGGAATAGAGGCCATGTCATCAGTTAGATCGCGAATAATTAATGAGTGACCTGGTGAACTGACTCACGGTAAATGACTCGCGAGTTGCATGTAACATCGACGAGGCTCTATCAGTTAAATGTATAAATTCATAAGTATTAACTTATTAGATTGAGTTGACAAGGCGATTTAGGTACAGGTATAAGTTTAAATATGCCAAGAATTGAGAAAGAAAAATTATTTCTGACAATTATCAAATTGGCTATAATGATAGTTTCAAGCCGCATTCATTCATTAGTTCTATGTTTAATGAATGTTTTATTCGTGAAATGTAAGATAAATTCATAAAAAAATTCAATTCACTTTTTTGCTAGTGTCATTTTTTAACGCATTGGACTTACATGAGTTTGGATGCTCATGTTTCTTGAGTATTTAAAAACAATCAAAGCTAACTGAATAAACATTCCTAACTTTTCCCTATAACTTGCCATGTTAATTATCCTTTTTTTTGCAGAATTATTGCAACTTTCCCGGCAAGAGTGTTCCCAAATAGTTTACTGAGCTTGTAAAACTTCTTTTTTTCTCACGACTGCTCCATCAGTCTTTTGTGTGTCGCGGTCATGAACGACACGGGTGCGTGACCTCAACTAATTGTGCGACGTTGATATAAATCTTGTTTCCCTTCACGACTTTCAATAGCAAAGTGACACTTCTAATAGAACTGATCATTATTTTTACGATAGTGTGAAAAAATTTCCGGACCACTATTATTAAATGCCAATTCAGTTCACGAAATTCGATAAAATGTTTGTGAAAACAGCCAAGGGATTCTATCTGTGGTCGACATGATATTGTGACCTAGATTGACTCTCAGTTTGTCATGATTTCCTTCGTACTTCCTCTACTCCTAGTAAACAATGCACTAATTATGCCTCTTCCCTTGTTTCACTCCGAGCGTTCTAGACCTTAATATATCCCTGACAATGCAGCGTCTCTCAGTCTTGTCTCTCTCGGAACACAGGACTCGTGAAAGATGATCATATGCAAACAGATCTTAGTCTAGCACCGACAAGAATCCTTGGTGCAAAATACGAACAGCTTTGATAAATGATAGTGCCCCATACCTAAGCCTTACATTTTTATTATACTGCATGACTATAAATCAGTTAAATATGTGTTAACTGCTTGTGCGTGCGAATAATCGCTCCATAATATTTACGAAATGAAGAGGACTAATTAAATTCAAACGAAATTAAGTTACTGTTTGTGAGTATTTACATATATTACCAAATTGCCATTTGCTAATTACTAAGATATTACAGACTAAATTACTATTCTTTGGCAGGGTTTAACGGGATCACAATGGATGCTCGACTTTTACAAGGGATAAGTTACAGCAACCGGGAGGTGGTTGCCACAGATGTCGCGAGCCTCCTAACCCTCGTGCTAAGTGGGCCCTTGCTCGCCTCCGTCGTCATCTGGTACATTGCCGCCACCTTCTTCTGGGGCGTGCATGTACCTAAGAGTATAGGCATCGATGTTGGGTAGGTGACACATCCAACAAATGTAGCCAGTGAATTCGATGTTTTGTCGTCGAGGACTTTATTTTACATTGCTTTATTCTGGGAAAAATACTGCTGTGAACTAAACTTGTGACTTATTTACTTACTTTATATATAAAATTTAGATGAAATTTAATCCACTGAATATATTGGAATGTGATTTAATTTCAGTTCATACGTCGGTGCACACAAGCAAGTATTGAGTGAACATTATCCAGCTGCATTGCCAACACTGACCTTGGCCGTTTCAACAAGACTAATTTTTTAAATGTCGTATTTGGTTCGAATGCTGACGAGCTAATATTCAGCACGTGTCTCTCCTTATGTCAGGCAGTACACCAAGGAGCACTACCCCTACCTCTATCAGAGAGTAAACCGGGCCTTACTCAAGTGGGCGCATCTTCCACCTCGCAGCCGTCCTAAAGACTTGGTGTGGGATACGTGGTTTACGAATGTGGACGGCGTTACAGTTCCTTACCAAGTGTTCAAACGACGTATCCTTGAATTGTGACCATCAACCCCATTTCAAGTTTGTCTACAAAATATCAAACAATCTATATAAATAAAACATTTCATGCGCTCACGACCTTACATATGCGTTTATTTATCATCGATCAAACCTTACATGTACGAACCGTGCAATGACCTCTCAAAAACGAAAAGTTCATGATTGATGTCAAAGTTTTCAAATAATGAAATAAACATTTCTGAGCTTGACTTGTAGGCAGTGGTTATTCATTTGCGCACACCTGGTAAATTCCCTGAATAGTTGTGCGCAAAAAACTTATTACTTAGATATTTAAACTTACCATCGCTTAGATTTATAGATATTGACCTCAAGTTGGAAGAGTAATAAGGAAATATTTCTGCTGTAACAAGCATACGGTTGGTGTAATTTGCTACACCGATTACATACCAGTATTCAACTTCACCATGAGCACCATTTAGGCTCTAAACAGTTGTATCTATGTCTAACTGCTGGTTTCTAACCACTTCGACTGGCCAACTGCTTTGGAACTACAAAATTGGAGATGTGAGCTGTGGACTCATCACTAACAGCTATTCACGAAAATCCTAGCCGAAATCAGCAGGGTGGGCCGCATGGTTACACACAAAAAAAAAGAGAAGAGAGTTTCGAAAACAAGCCTCTCAGATAAGGTGCTTGTACACAGGGATAGTGCAGACGGCTAGTAAATCTGGCTAGTGTAGGTCGCTTGGTGACTATTCAGCTAGTAAGCCTTTACACACGAGGAGAGTATAAGGTGCCGCTATCTTCTCGTTCGCGCCCGCCAGTGCGTCGTTAGAAGCCGTCGAGTGAGGTCTGTGAAGATGGATAGTGTGATCACCTTCAACAACTCGAGTCTGTACGTGTTTTTTATACTCCATATTCTAGCCCTTAAAAATACAGCGTCGGGAACAACTAAACTCTGACTAATAGGGTCTTCTTTCCGTTTCAAAATACTCGTTTCTCTCTTCATTTTGTTGGAGTAACCATCATGGAAAACATTATACTCTAATTCATATTTTTGGAATATTTCAAAGAATAATTGAATATCGTCTGGAATCCACTTTGTTGGATTCCTCTTAGAAACATTATCGTTCAAACAAGCCATGATTTACGTGACCCAAGATACTTCACAGGAGCGGCACAGATGCTCTCACCATGGCTGCATCAGCGCTACTAGCCACTTATCCAATATCCAGCCAAGATATCAACACATCGTTGTCTCTCTCGGCCGCGCCTCGGGCACTTGCCGGCGCATGCCTCTGAAGCGGCTGAACCCCTATACACGAGGCTAGTAGCGTGGACAGTTCAAGCGCCGGATGAACTAGCGGCTAGTACTATCCCTGTGTACAGGCACCTATAGCTATGGAAATTTGGCTATATCTATATTCGACTCCGGATTTGGATTTGGAGTTGGGGCGTGGTGCCTCTGAGAAAAAAAAAATTTTCAGAGTCAGGCCGTTGGCCCGTTGCAACGGCCGTCAGCCACGCATCACATATTTGCTTGTTAGGAGGAAAGAAGAAGGGAAACTAAAACACAGAGAGGCTAGGATGGTGTGAAAGTTGTGTTAGGGGTGAGATGAGAGCAAGGGGAAGGAGAAATCAGGAGGAAATTCATTTGATTTATTATTGCTATATCCCAGTTTTTGTCATGTGTAGTTTGCATTTATATTAGTTATGTTGCCTCTAAGACCCTGAGTGACTATTTGTGTTATATTGAATTTAAATGAATTATTATGGTTTGGTTATTCTAGCTTTATTACTGCTGCTCTCTACTGTCCCCCGGCCTCCACTCTTGCCAACCTCCTTCTCTCCCTCATCCTACAGTCACTCTCCAAAAAATCGCTTTCCACTCTCAGTCAAAGCGGCTATCACCCCCCATTGACAAGCCCAATATAATTGTAATCCATTCGTCTCCTGTTTGCTCATACATCACACCATCACCTGGTCCCTCTCATCCAGTATCACTCTCATCATTTCCAGTCTCTCCCGCTCATATATGCGTCACACTCCATCATCAGTTCATCACAGATGCTCCACAGTTTCCCTCTCACCTCTGTCATACATAAAACAAATATCCTCTTTTCTTTCATTCCACCTGTATGTCCGTGCATTCACACTCAAAGCATTTGCTCTCGCACAGAACATTAGGTCTCTACCTCTACTTCCATCATATATGTACTCATACCCCCTTGGCATCTCCTTCATCCGGTACAATCTCAGGCTGTCTTTTCTTTCCATTCCTTGCTTCCAAACTATTAGACCACACAGTTTCACTCGCTTTTTTATTTCTTTCTTCCATTCTTTGAGGTCCCATTCGATCCCTGTTGCACCCTGTACTGTTATCATCCATTCCTTTCTTGTTCTATTATTCCCAGGGCGAGCCCATGTTTCATGTAATCCACACTTTCGTACTATTGCATGACACTTGCGTTCCCATTTGCTCACTCTCAAGTTCCACAGGTACACCTCACGTGCCTAGCGCACATCATTCATTCTTTCCAGTTGTACTTTATATCTTAATGCTGCTTTCATTCTTCTCTCTCTAAACGTACTCCATCCCACATCCTCTTAAAGCCTCCACTGCAGTCCATCTGGGGGCTCCATGAGCTAGTCTAGCTATCCCATTCTGTACATCCTCCAATTCACCATCATTCCATGCGATAGCGTCCATTCCATAGTCCATACATACATAATCCCAGGTACCGCTACACTTTTCCATACTTCTCTTAGAACGTCATATTTACTTGCTCTCACACTTGCTGCACTGCCCAGTATTCCTAACCACTGATTTGCTTTACTAAGACTCAACGCTTTAGTTCTCTCGCATCCTTTTTGGTCAACACTCATTCCCAAGTATCTGTACTAATTTGTCCTCCCAATCACATTTCATCCCAGCTGCCACACTCTATCCACATCCTCAGCTGCTCCGTTCACAACTAACTCCTGACTTCTCTGGTCTAAAGCGCACGTTGTAATCCTTGCCATACTCAGTGATACAGTCATGTATACTCTGAAGTTCAGCCCCATTTTCACTCATTATTACTGCATTATCAGCATGCAATAGCATTTTTAGTCTTTCATCTCCAACACACACTCCCACATCCATTCTTCTCAGTCTAGCAGCCAATTGGGCCAATTTGAAACCAATCATGATGAAATTTGAGACACAGCTTACGAATATAAATGTCCCCCCATAAGAATCATCACAACTTAATATTATGCTTTGTCTTCAATTAGAGCGTAAAGTTGTTGACAATTATGTTTTGTAAAAAAAAAACGTAAGGTAAAAATATGTACATAACTTCTTGTCAGACATCAACAGCGTCATCCCTCTATGGGAAAACTAATTTTATCGAATTTAGAGCACATTTTATTGAAAGTCTACATGAAAATCTTCGATAATTTGAGCGGGATTTAATTTCAACATGAAATTACCCGATTAACATTTTACAAAACCTACAGTCTTTTTCAAATAATTACAATACAAGTTGTTTCGAAGAGTTTTCTGGCAACATCGCTCGCTCTGTGTTGTTGTCTTTTAGTTCGTGTAAGTAGGAGCCTGTGAGTCAAATCGGTAGGTTATTTGATATTTTTTTTTGTTTACATACATTCTGATGGATTCTATTCCCTATTTATCTAATGACCAATGAATGATTTTGAGATAATTCTAAAAATGAGAGTCCTAAGGTTAATGAGTAAATAAATATTGTGTTCAATATGCTAGAATTAGGTTGAAGCTACCAATTTCAAACGCGTCAAAATTATTACGAACTGGTTAGCCTAGCCTATTAACATTGTGACCACTGACCAGTACATTTCAACAAAAATTCTATTCGAATTAACTAAGTTATTGCTACCAACTTTTTTTTTGTACTAAATGCTCCCCAAACATTTTTGCTCTATTCATATCGCCGGTAGGCTACCTAATTCAGATCTGTTACTGTCTGCTAAAGTGTCATTTATGTTAGAGTTAGCGAATGATAAGACTAATAGTACTTCTCAATGCTATTCTGAAAAAGTTGGCAGAAGCAACTCATAATTCAGTCAACGACTCTAAAATGCCCTTGCTTGCCCTTTCTTTCTCTAGTTTTGATGGCCTGTTCCTAATTTCTTTCATTATTAAAAAAGGCAAATGGCACATTTTACCTACAACAGTACAACTACAATTTTTGAAAAATTCTACCCATTACCCAATATTACAAAATGGCTCAAGCTGATCACTGCGACTGCATAGTGGCAAGACAGAGTTTTTTTTAGACTTTCCGTCTCCCTCAAGTCCATTTTTGAGTCCTATAACTATAAGTAGCCCAGTTACTGGGCTACTTATAGGACTTAGGTAATTGATTATAACTTATAGGACCATGATTATTAATTTATTTATATACTAATTATAGGACCATGATTACTTATACTTATAAGGCCTAGTCAAACTTGAGCATTATACCAGCATTATCAATCTTAAGAAATAGGTTTAAATCTTGAATAAATGAGAATATTAATAATGAACTGATTCTAAAAAATCTTTGGTTTGTCACTAGGTAGGGTAAACGCGGTATATTCCGACACATTAAGGACGCATCGAGAAATGAAAAACTATAAAAAAAACGTATGCGTTACGTAAGTTCTGTTGCCTTCACATGACTCTCAAAACACTTCACTACGCGTCAGCAACAATTAAATGTCACAAAATGTTGCCATATTTATTAAAAAGCCTTTAGAATGGAAACCTACCAAATCCCTATATTCCGTCACTTTGTGTGGCAACATCCGACACGTGGTGAGTCGTATTGCGTCAGCGCTTCAAATTTAACTGATACGTATTGCCGACATCCACGCGTTCGAATTCCGTTTGCTGTGTGAGCTGTATTGGGATACAACACGGCTTTGAATTAGAACACAATATTCACAGACTTATTTAAAAGTCTCAAACCATAATATTCTTCCTATAAAAACAGTTATTCACTATTTGGTAGAGCCATGTCAACTGTCAAATTTGACACATTTTTCGATGATCTCACCACGTGGCATGCATTGTCTCTCTTTGGATCTCAATGTTTTCCCACTAGATGGCCAAGACCTAGTGTTTTTGCAGTATTTCGACACGCAAATGTATGACGTCACCATTTCAACCATCAATGAACGCATGGAACTAGAACAAAGCTTAATATAAAGGAAAAGCTGGAGAGGTGACAGAATTACCTACGATGTCGGAATATACCGCATTTACCCTATGCGTCTTATGCAACAGCAGCAAGCAAGAAATGCTTTAGTTGCCTACCTATTTATTTTTACTTACAGGATCTGCTCCAAAGTTGATTATTCATTTATTATATTGGGTATTCTTCTGTTAGGATGCAATAATCATAGTGGAATTCTATAATTGCAGGCAGGGTTGGAAAAGTCCTATTTTTTTTTTAATTTTGCAGCTCTAATATCGTATAATATCAGTAGCTGAATGAAAAGCTTATATCAAGCTTTTCATCTTTCTGATGGTAAGCTTATAGCTAGGATAAACTCAGTATATTCCAACATTGTGGGTTATTCTGACACTTCTCAACTTTTTCCTTTATATTAAGCTTTGTCTTAGTTCCACGCATTCATTGATGGTTGAAATAGTGATGTCATATTATTGCACACCATACTATTGCCAAAACACTAGGTCTAGGCCGTCTGGCGGGAAAATGTTAAGATCAAAAGAGACAGTGCACGTCACCCAGTGATAACATCGAAAAACATGTCAAAGTTTATAGTAGACCTTGCTCTCCCAAATAGTGATGAACTGTTTGTGCATGGTGGCAGGGAATTATTGTCAGTACTTATCGGTCCACCGCCGTGCGGCGGTCTTAACCCTTCGCAAGGCCCCATGCCCTTGGCCCTTGGTCCCCTCTTGCAAGTTGCAATCTAAACTCAACGGTTCAACCCCATGGTCTCATCACAACTCCCTTTAGAAATATTTGGAGTTTTGAAATTGATATAAATAAATCAATAGATATTTGAACTGGGAAATCCCTTAGTTACTTACGTTGGTTCCAGAAAGATATCAATGACGTAAAAAATGACAATGACATTGGTTAAGCCTCAGCCATGATTCTAGCTCTGCTTAGTCCTTACACTTCTACCTCGTAATTCATGATGTTAGAACTTCGATGTCTTAATGTTGACACTACTGTCAAGTGTCAATATCACAATCAAAATTATTTCACAATCAGAAATATGTTATAATATCACAATAAAAAATATTATTCACAAATAACCATCGATTTCAATGCAAAACTCCCATCTTCACTGCTTTGTTTACATATGGGTAGCAGTGACGTCACACACAACACGTGGTAGCTACTACGTAGCTACATCGATTGTGACAAAAAAAAAAATGCACTATTTTGCTGCCCTACAAACAAATAAATGTAAATAATTAGTAATGGAAAATGTGTTGCTGCAACATTTTGAGAGACTGTGCCTAAGCAGAATACAATATTAATAAATTATTAGTGAAAAAAAGTTTTTCTGGAACATTTTGAGAGACTGTGCCTAAGCAGAATACAATATTAATAAATTATTAGTGAAGATACTAACAATAAAGTAGTTCATTTGATGGCCGCTGCTAGCACTGGCATCTGAATACGGGCGTGCCACCTTTGTTTAGAATTCGAACAATTCAATATCTCACTGCAACACAAGTCAATACATTTAAGAAATTAGTAATGGTAAATATGTTGCTAGAACACTTTAAGAGACCGGACCTAAACAGAATACGATATTATTATATTATTAGTGAAGACTGAAGATACTAACAATAAAGTAGTTCATTTGTTTGCCGCTGCTAGCGCTGGCATCTGTAATATGTGAAGCTTCTATGGGTACAACTTCTATGATCAATTTGAATCATGAACATTTACCTAATGCAAGAAATTAGCAATCAATAATTCAAGGTTATTTTGTAAGTTTTGTAACAAGGGAAGACTACATTAAATACGTATTGGCAACTTATGCTAAAAAAATGCACTGAAACTGCAAACAGCTGTGACAGAAGGTGCCAGAAAGCACCATTGATTCATTTGTCAATTTTTATTTCAAATCGCTGTCAGTTCTTTGGACTAGGAGCGTAAATTTCAGTGTAAAACCTATTAAAAGTTTAAGTTTCTATGTGGATTTTGATGCTGTTAACATTTAAATACTTGAAAGTATCTCTGATGCAAGAAATACTGGCTAAATACATTTTAATTTAGAAATTAACATCAATCGAAATTACTGTTGTTCCGGGCTATGTTGGTTCTTGCAACCGATTTTTGCATCCAGTCGCTTATAATGAAAATAAAATTGTTTAAGCAAGTATTTCTTGCATTAGAGATACTTCAAAGTTTGTTAATGTTAACAGCATTATAATCGATGCAGAAACGTAAATTTTTTATATAGATGTTGAAAATTTAGGCTCTTTGACTTGTATACTATGGCCCTATAGGTCTAGGATTTCAAATGGATGCATGTGTTCAAATTCAAATAAGGCCCGCCCACGGCCAGTGTCAGCTCAGCTGACAAACTGCCCCTTTCTTCAGAAGCAAGAAAGCTTTTGCCGGGTAAGGTTGTGTTACATGATCGGTCCTCGGTCCGTAAAGAAGTGTCAATTGGTTCAAAATGACATAAGACCAGGTTCTTTTGAATAACCTATAGAATTGCACCATGTGTTTGTGAATATATTAGGAATCCTTTAAGTATACTTGTATTTGCTGATTTCAAGTGGTAAATAAATTAATAGATGATTAAGTTAAGAGACGGTTTTAGACACATAAAAACTAATTCTGACACAGCTTGGAATTCAACACAAACAACTCATTCTGAGCTGTGGGCAAAAATTAAAATTTTCATACTTGAAAGCTTAATAGCTCTTAATTAAAAGCCTAATTAAGTAGTGTTCAATATTCAATAGTGTTCTAATTCCCAGCTGTGTTGTATTCCAATACTGCTCACACAGCGATCGGAATTCAAACACAAGACTGACAAGAGGGTCAGAATTACAAATTAGTAGAGTTTGAAGCGCGGCACATAAAAACTAATTCTGACACCGCTTGGAATTACACACACAGCTAATAGCTTGTTCTGAGCTGTGTCCAAATATTAAAATTTTCTTAATTAAAAGCTTTATTAAAAAATTGGAATTTTTTAATTAGGCTTTTCAATTTTTTATTTAAGCTGTGTAATGTCCATAGCTCGTTCCAAGCTGTGTCATATTCCAATACAGCTCAACACAGGGCATCGGAATTCCAACACAGGGCACCGGAATCACAAATTAATAGAGTTTGAAGTGCTGCCGGAATTAGTCTCACAATATGCCGAATTTAGTCACACACAGCGTCGGAATTCAGGGATTTTGTAGGTCTGAATTCTAAGGGCTTTTAAATAAATATGGCAAGAGTTTGTAACGTTTCATCATTGCTGGCGCGTAGTGTGGTGTTTTGAGAGTGACGTAAACCAATCCGAACTCAAGTTGCGCATACGGTGATCTATTTATAGCCATTTATTTCTTGCTACGTCCTTAATGTGTTGGAATATACCGCGTTTACCCTAGTTATAGGT